GCTTAGGAGGAGGAAGGTGAGGGGTGGTGAGAGGAGGAAGTGAGGGGTTCAAGTTGGCATTGATTCTCCAAGAATAACATTAAACATGGTAGTGAGGAGAGAGGGAGGGAGAGGCCTATAGTTATGGCAGTGAGGGGAAAGAGGGAGGCCTATGGTTATGGTAGTTGTCATGGTAGTGAGGGGAGAGAGGGAGGCCTATGGTTATGGTAGTTGTCATGGTAGTGAGGGGAGAGGGAGGCCTATGGTTATGGTAGTTGTCATGGTAGCGAGGGGAGAGAGGGAGGCCTATGGTTATGGTAGTTGTCATGGTAGCGAGGGGAGGGAATGAAACAATTATTCCATGATCATAGTAGTCACAGGGTTAAGTCATCGTACTCAAGGAATTAAAATGTCAACTCCAGTGGACCAATATATATTTTACTTAAGGAGTTGTGGCATCTTAGTCGAGGTTGAGATCTTTCACCAATCAAAGAGAATGACAGAAAAACAGACAGACGCAGTGACAGAATGAATTAATGAGAGACAGAGAGAGACTTTAGTTGAAAAATGGTATAAAAAGTCTTACTCGTAGTGCTGTCTTACCCCTCTGAATTATTTTATTGTGTAAAAGAGAAAGTAAGAAAAAAATCAAGTGAGAAAGAGAATGTCGGTATTCACGTACGCTTCCGTGTTTCAAGGTACAAGGTCAAGTCTTAAGCAATATTGTAAACATCTGGTTGTTATTCTCTTCAGCATTGTGATGTGTGTGTGTGTGGGGGGTTACATACCTCAGAAGGGAGGGAGGGGGGACCACCACTAACACGTTATCTATCTTAAATCTGGATACAATTCTCCCAAGACTTTTCACTGTAACATTTTTAGGCCTCGTTTATATACGGTGAGGGGACGAGTGTGTCTAGCGTGTGGTAGGAGCAGTGGGAAGCCAGGTAAGGGAGGGGGTTGGGGGGGGATATATAGCAGAGAGAAGATGAGGAGGGGAGTGTTGAGGGCAGTGGGGACGTTTCATGTAAGCTCCGTCCGACTTACCGTGTTGAACCATTAGGTCTCTGTGGACACGGTAGAGAGAAGGGGATGGGCGGACGGGGTGGCCTAACCTCCTCATCATGCGTAAAAGATGGAATTGATTGGTATTTTAGCCGTGTTATTATATCGTAGAGAGAGAGAGAGAGAAAGAAAGAGAGAGTCAATCTTAATGATGCGATTACTCTTCTTTAATGAACCTTGACATAACTACTTCCGTGTGGTTATGATGACGTAAGTGCGGAAGATACTGGTGAGGTGCTCTTCAATTTCTTCCACCCATTAACCATGTAGTAATAAAATTATCTAGGGGTCGTTTTGAGAAACTTATATGGGGCCTACTGCAGCTTTGAAGACGTTTAAATAAGGCGCCATTACCTCGAGAAGTGAACATTATCTATTTTTTTCTCTACTTTATGAGATGGCTTTTAAACGTGTGTGTGTGTGTGTGTGTGTGTGTGTGTGTGTGTGTGTGTGTGTGTGTGTGTGGAGAAAGTTATTTTTTTTGTAAGTTACGATGGTGGTAAATCTGACAGACTCCAGTAGATCACCTGTTTTGACTTGTTGGTGGAGCTTCAACGGGAAAGATGTGTAAACGGGGCGGTAGATCACCTCTTTACTGTTGTTGATGAACAGGAAAAACAACAGAAGAGATGAACAATGCAGTGGATTACAGAAACCATTGTAGTATCAGGTGTTGATGTTGGGTTTTCAGTGTTGTAAATCATAGGTGAGAAGAGACGTGTGTGATTCATTATAGGATTTTGGAGGCGAAGAGAGATATTGAAAACGCTTCCATTGTTTTGGTCGGCTGTGTGTAGGAACGAGTTTACTGAGATGATAATGATGATGATGATGATGATGGAGGTATTAACAATGTGAATAGTAATAAAGATAATAATAATAATGATGGTGATAACGTCGATGATAAAACAATAATAACTGATGATAATTGTAAAATGATAATAATAATATGCCAACCAAGTCTTCTCACACAGTAACCTAACCTAACCTGGGGTCATTTGTGTGTGTGTGTGTGTGTGTGTGTGTGTATCAGAACTTTGTATTTAGTTAATTTTAGTGTATAACCTTAAATCTGGCTATTATAGTATTGCAATGTGACGATGTGGACGTGTGTATCAATCCATCAGGTTCTGTATTCACTTAAAACAATAAATTCACGAATGTCTAAGTCCCATTGTTGAAAATACACGTAAGGTAAAGGATATCTAACCCTACATCTGTCCAAGTCAACCCAGAAAAAAATTAATTGGTCGAAGTAATATAATATGGTTTTAAAATTCCCTCTGAAAAAACATCCTATATATTTATTGTAGTTTGTATGGACACGGATATATATATACTGTATATCTCTCTCTCAAGTCTAGGTCAGTCTTGTTAGTCTTACAGTCAATATCTAATGAACGGAAATAAATTGAAAAACAACATAGGAAAATAGCTCCTGTCACCTGAACATTTCCAACAGGGTGTTTTAGTTTTCCTTTCGTGCAAGAGTTCTTCTGTCTGTGTGTGTGTGTGTGTGTGTGTGTGTGTGTGTGTCTGTGTGTGTGTGTGTGTGTGCTGTTAACTCTTTTGTAAATATATACATATGTAAACTTCGCTAAATTCTTCTATTCCAGGACAGTTGTTATAGATATTAATGTTTACTTTGTGTTATGTTATCTGGACAATCAGTTGTATGTTACTAATGTGTGTTTCTCTGTTGTAGGTAAGTGTTGGTGCTTCACGCTGGTGCTTCACGCTGGTGCTTCACGCTGGTGCTTCACGCTGGTGCTTCACGCTGGTGGGTGAGTACAGTATTTCTGCCTCGACACTGTATTTTATATTATTATATTTTGTGTGTGTATATTATGTTGTATTACAGGTTTAAATATGGAAAACTGATGATGAATTTGATGAGGAAATGTATATTAACTAACACACACACACACACACACACACACACACACACACACCGATAATTAAACGTGAAACAACACCGTAAAACACCGTCATTATTCTGCTACTGGACGTGACTTAACAAGGTAGGCCTCATAGGGGGGAAGAACTAGTGGCTGCCAGAAACACACACACACACACACACACACACACACACACCGGTGACCTACCACCATTACCACTAGCTATAGGCTGGCTGGGGGTGACCATCCACCCCCCCCTAAGGGATCGTGGTAAGACCGGAACGAACCTATGAGCTGACGAGTAGGTTAGTGGCGTTTGTGTTCCGACGTGGGGGACCTTACCTGCCTGCCTACCGAGGCATTAGGCTTAGTGAGGGTCTACACCGGTCACCCTCACTGGTCATCTAGAGGGAGGGGGGAGCTGTGTGAAGGAAGGAAGAGAGAAAATAGGGAGAGGGGAGAGATTTGAGGAGTAGAACGTGTGTAAAGGGAGTTTTAAGGTAGGAGGAAGGGTTTAAGGGAAGGAAGGTGTTTGACTAGGGGTTTGGTGTTGGTGCAGAGGGAAGAGGGGGGAGTACAGCAAGTATTTGAGAGGGAAGAGCAGCTGCCTGGGGAGAGGGAAACCCTTTTAACGAGAGTGGGTGAGGGGTTGTCATAGAGAAAAGGGAAGGCGACTCAGAGGAGGAGGACATATCAAAGGGAAACAGAACGTTTATATGGAAAGGAAGGAGTGTCTGGAGGAACAGGAAAGGTCTTAAGAAAAAGAAAGGGGGTAGGAAAAGAAGGTGTGTGAGGGAGGGGGGTCGACTGAGGGAAGTAAGCAGAGACTAGGGGTTAGGTTGACGAAGGTAGAGAGTGCAGAGTCGTATTTTAAGAGGCAAGTTTACCGCACCCTAGTGACAGGGGGAGAGAAGATTATAGATTTTTTGTATTCGTGTGTGTGTGTGTGTGTGTGTGTGTGTGTGTGTGTGTGTGTGTGTGTGTGTGTGTGTGTGTGTGTGTTTTAGGCTTGTTACCTGAGCCTTCTGCACCGAGGGGTAAAAAAAGTGGAGGACGTCTAAATCTGTATACTGGTGGCGGTACTTGGAGGGGCAGGAGGCATCAAGAGGAGTTATGTGATGGTAGAGTGAGCATCAAGTACATGAGGATGGAATCATTACACACTCACATATACGGGATTTATATTTATGTGTTCTTCTTTATCTTCTAATTCATCATTATCATCTTCATTATTTATATCATCATCATTATCTACATCATCATCATCATCATCATTATCTACTTCATCATCATCATTATCTACTTCATCATCATCATCATCATCTTCGCTTTTTCTCTTTTAACTTCTTTTATTTCGTCTTTTTCTTCATCTTCTTTATCATATCTTTTTTTTACTTTGTTTTATTTTGTTTTGTTCTTCGTTTCTATCAGTTTTGTTTTGCCACTTTATCTTTTTCTTCTCCTCCATCTTTGTTTATCTTCGTTTGCTTCTATCTTTCTTCTTCTTCTTCTTCTTCTTCTTCTTCTTCTTCTTCTTCTTCTTCTTCTTCTTCTTCTTCTTCTTCTTGTGTTAGGTCTGTCTTCCTCTCGCGCCTCAGAATTTACTGTAAAAGAAAAAAAAATCAGTCTTAAAAAATATCTTCATATGGTAATTCGGTGGAAGATCTAGACTCAGTGTAATTCGATGATTCATGGGTGGAGTTAGTAGTCAGTTTGCGATACGAATGATTCGAGATTTTACGAGCCTGGTGATTCGTGGAGTTAGTCGAGCGTTTGTTTCTGAGTGATTCGAGAACTGCGAATCATTTTGCGGTATTAATGATTCGAGAAATGAGTCGTTAGTTTGCTTGTGATTCCAGTGATTCGAGTTTTGAGTCGAGCATTTCCAAGTGATTTGAGATCTGAGTCGACCATTCCCCAGTGATTCGAGATCTGAGTCGAGCATTTCCTAGTGATTCGAGTTCTGAGTCGAGTATTTCCAAGTGATTCGAGATCTGAGTCGAGCATTTCCAAGTGATTCGAGAGCTTAATCGTCAATTTGCACACCTCGACACAACACTAATGAATATGTCGCTTGTAGATGTATGCTTGAACCCCTAGAGTCTTGTAGATGTGTTTCTCTTCCTTCATTGTCTTGTAGATGTGTTTCTCTTCCTTCATTGTCTTGTAGATGTGTTTCCCTTCCTTCATTGTCTTGTAGATGTGTTTCTCTTCCTTCATTGTCTTGTAGATGTGTTTCCCTTCCTTCATTGTCTTGTAGATGTGTTTCTCTTCCTTCATTGTCTTGTAGATGTGTTTCCCTTCCTTCATAGTCTTGTAGATGTGTTTCTCTTCCTTCATAGTCTTGTAGATGTGTTTCCCTTCCTTCACAGTCTTGTAGATGTGTTTCTCTTCCTTCATTGTCTTGTAGATGTGTTTCTCTTCCTTCATAGTCTTGTAGATGTGTTTCTCTTCCTTCATAGTCTTGTAGATGTGTTTCTCTTCCTTCATAGTCTTGTAGATGTGTTTCTCTTCCTTCATAGTCTTGTAGATGTGTTTCTCTTCCTTCATAGTCTTGTAGATGTGTTTCTCTTCCTTCATAGTCTTGTAGATGTGTTTCTCTTCCTTCATAGTCTTGTAGATGTGTTTCTCTTCCTTCATAGTCTTGTAGATGTGTTTCTCTTCCTTCATTGTCTTGTAGATGTGTTTCTCTTCCTTCATTGTCTTGTAGATGTGTTTCTCTTCCTTCATAGTCTTGTAGATGTTTCTCTTCCTCTTCTTGTGATGTGTTTTCTTCCTTTCTTGTGTTTTCTTCCTTCATTGTCTTGTAGATGTGTTTCTCTTCCTTCATAGTCTTGTAGATGTGTTTCTCTTCCTTCATAGTCTTGTAGATGTGTTTCTCTTCCTTCATTGTCTTGTAGATGTGTTTCTCTTCCTTTATGTCTTGTAGATGTGTTTCTCTTCCTTCATAGTCTTGTAGATGTGTTTCTCTTCCTTCATAGTCTTGTAGATGTGTTTCTCTTCCTTCATAGCCTTGTAGATGTGTTTTCTTCCTTCATTGTCTTAGATGTGTTTCTCTTCCTTCATAGTCTTGTAGATGTGTTTCTCTTCCTTCATAGTCTTGTAGATGTGTTTCTCTTCCTTCATAGTCTTGTAGATGTGTTTCTCTTCCTTCATAGTCTTGTAGATGTGTTTCTCTTCCTTCATAGTCTTGTAGATGTGTTTCTCTTCCTTCATTGTCTTGTATATGTGTTTCTCTTCCTTCATAGTCTTGTAGATGTGTTTCTCTTCCTTCATAGTCTTGTAGATGTGTTTCTCTTCCTTCATAGTCTTGTAGATGTGTTTCTTTTCCTTCATAGTCTTGTAGATGTGTTTCTCTTCCTTCATAGTCTTGTTTGTAGACCTAACCTCACTCTTTCCTTAGACAGCCCTTGTAGACACATCTCTTCCAGCTGAGGAAAATCTTGTAGACAACCTCACTCCCTACTGAAAAAAAATAGACCTAATCTTCCCCTACTGAGGAAAATCTCGTTAATCCGAGGAAATGCTGAGGTAGAGGGAAAAAATTAGGCCTAGCTAGCGGTAGATGGGGAAGCTAATTATGTGTATATAATTTTGGAAGTGAGGGACTCCATCTACCGGCGGTGAAGGGAATTTTATTTTATTTTTATTTTTTATGTTTTTTTATTTTTTAGGGTCGACTATATAGTTGGTTTTGGAGGTGTTAAACAGAGTGGGGGAGGCAATGGAAGGGGGTAGTTGGTTTATGTCGAATATGTGGATAGGAGATGGAAGGGGATTAGTGGGTTTATGACCTATAGGGAAGTATCAGGAGGGACTTTATGGCATTTTTAAAGGGGTTAAGGGGGAAATGCTTACTCCATTACACCTAAGGGGGATCATTGAATTTGTTTATGAAGTTTAAGGGAGACTGTGTATGATGCTTAAGGGAGACTGTGTATGAGGTTTAAGGGAGACAGTTATGGTGTTTGAGGTTTAAATATCATGGTAGGAATAAAATAATGGTGTCAAATAGTGGTGCTTGATCATGTAAACAGCGGAGTGTTGTGGTGCGCTGTTGTTGACGTCTGCAAGATGTGAGGATTTTGGTGCAGGGTGTTGGGGGTGTGAGTGGAGGAGGGGGGGTGTTGAGATGGGGGGGGGACAGTGAGGGGAGTGGTTGGGGGGGTTGAGGGGTAGGAGACAGTGGGAGGTGAGATTCAGTGGGGGAATTGGTTGAGAGAGAAAGAGGGGGGGGAAGGAAGAGGACGGTGTGGGAGAAGGAAAGGAGATGATGAGAAAGATGAACAGGTGAAGGTGTTTGAGAGAGAGAGAGAGAGTAGAATTGGTGGTAAACTGTAAAATAAAGTCCATTATCCATAACACCGTCACAGGAGGTCGCTTCTCCCCCCTCCCGACAAGTGTGGAGGCATGAACTCCCTTGTACGTTAATTAATATAGTAATCGGGTAGGCTTTGGTGCTGTCAATCAGTGCAGTGGGGAGTAATTGGTCAGATGCACAGTAGGGACGAGAGCACCCCGGCCTGCTAGATAATGCGTTTGACCTTGGCTGGAAATTCCTCTCCACTCTCACTATTGAAAGAGAATTGAGTTACTTTTAAATGTTCCCGTCATAGAATAGGAGGGATAGGGTAGCATGGGGGGACGTATAGTGCTATCCCTCACCATTCTGTTCTTCCCAGTGTAATATATCCTTTACTGGATGTCTAGTTTGAGGTGTTGATGAAGGGAAAGATGCCCTTCTAAAACTCTCTCCTCGATTTACGGGAACCAGGACTTGATGAGACGACTTGATAAACCCTGGGCAGACGCAGAAACAAACAAAACCCTCGAGAGATTTAAAACCCGTAATTAAGTGAACTTGAAATCCAGTTCGGTTCTTGTATAGTAGATGAAAGAAACATATTACTGGTTCGTTTTTGTGTTAAGACTTTCAGTTTAATAGGGAGATGGAATAGGTACAGAACACACAAGGTTTTAGTGAGTGAGATGGCTAACAGGGCGCTTAACAGGGAGTCAACAGAAGATCAACGGATAGATAACAGAGATCCTTAGAGATAAAACAGTGTACGGAGAGAGGGTAACAACAGACAGACAACAGGGCACCACAGACACCGGTTTTAAAACAGGGAAAACACGGATAAGTCAACAGAACACCAATAGTTAAGCAACAGACAAAACTGAATTGATAGTAAAACAACAGATAAATCAACTTTGGACTAACAGACAAAAGGGAAAATAACAGATAAATGGACCAACAGACAACAGTATACAATAACAGGAAAAAAAAAACATCAACAACAACATATATTTCAACGGGGCACCAACAGAGAGCCAACATACCATGGTCTGGCACCTTGGGGGGGTGGGAGTAGTTAGTTAAGGGAGGATTTGGTCTATTTCGGTCAGGGCCAAGGCCAGCGCAGCGTGAGCACCTGGTTAATGTTTTCTGATCATTATCACAACTTTCCAGAATTCTTCACTCTCTCTCTCTCTCTCTCTCTCTGTCAGGTTGTTGTTGGATTTTGTTTTTCATTTTCATTTACACTATTAAAGGGAGACTAATCACATTTTAGTATCGTTATTGAGATTATTAACTCTTGACGGGAAAAATTAATTATATCTCACAGGTGATGCAAATTGGCTCCTTACAGGTGTTTGTTTTGATCTGGAAATTAATATAAAAACACCGATGGCAGGATCATTGGTAGTGTGTGTGTGTGTGTGTGTGTGTGTGTGTGTGTGTGTGTGTGTGTGTGTGTGTTTCGAAAACTTAATGGGATTTAGTAGTGTGTGGTATGTGTTTATTGAGGGATATAAGTACACTACTACTTCTAAGTATTATTTAAGTGGTTTTGTAAGTGGCGCGGCATTGGGTTGAGGTAGTGGGCGTGTGGTAGGTCAGGTGGAGTGGTATTGATGGGACACAACTTTCTGCATTCAGGCGAAGTCTTTTGGAATATCGCACCGTGATTCAGAGGCGATGGCGGCAGTGTATGACGTCACTGATGACGTAGTGGCAGATCTGCAGGATGCCTGGTGACAGATGCCGCAACCCTGCCTCTACCACCTCCACCACCACTACCACCACTACTACCACCACCACCACTACTACTACCACTACTACCACCGCTACCACCACCACCACCAGGGCAGTAGTTAAGAGTGAAGAAAAGTTGAACATGGATGAGAGTAGTTAAAATGGCTTAATGCTGAGTCATCCAGCTTAGTGTGTAAGTGTAGCGGCTGGGTAAAGGTACACATGAGTTCACTACCACCATCACCAACACCACTGTCACTACTACCACCATCACCAACACCACCACCACTATCACCACTACTACTACTACCACCACCACCACTACTACTACCACCATCACCACTACAGTACTACTACCACCATCACCAACACCACTGTCACTACTACCACCATTACCACCATCACCACCATTACCATTACCACCACTACCACCACCACCACCACTACCACCATCACCACCTAATTTACTCAACTTTTCAGATGATTTGTTATTGTAAGCGCTAAGAAAAACACTAATTAGCGAACGTATAAAAGACTCTATATTATTTGGGCGCCAGGCGAACGTATGGGCGCCAGACGAACGTACATAAGTGTTAATTTTAAGTAGGTCGTAAACACAGTAGCGAGTGGTCAATTTAGAGTAACGAGTGGTCAATTTAGAGTAGCGAGTGGTCAATTTAGAGTAGCGAGTGGTCAATTTAGAGTAGCGAGTGGTCAATTTAGAGTAGCGAGTGGTCAATTTAGAGTAGCGAGTGGTCAATTTAGAGTAGCGAGTGGTCAATTTAGAGTAAGAAGTTAATGACATACATGCGTGTCTCCAACGAGTAGAATGCGTTGAGGAGGGAAATTGTCCGGTTTAAGTGAGAGGTAAGTGGTATCCTATGTCCTGAGTGGTCGTTTTAGGCAAGTGGTGAGCATACAGGAGTCCAAGTGGTCAGGGAAAGTATGTATTTTAGTTGTGGAAAGTGTCCATTTTAGGCGATTCGTGTGCGTTGAGGAGAAAGGTGGCCATTTTAAGTAGAGTTTTAGTCGGGGAGTGTGACCATTTTAAGTAGAGTTTTTAGTCGGGTAGTGTGGCCATTTTAAGTAGAGTTTTAGTCGGGTAGTGTGGCCATTTTAAGTAGAGTTTTTAGTCGGGTAGTGTGGCCATTTTAAGTAGAGTTTTAGTCGGGTAGTGTGGCCATTTTAAGTAGAGTTTTAGTCGGGGAGTGTGGCCATTTTAAACACATGATAAGCGTTGAGGAAATAAAGTGGCCATATTAAGCGAACTATGAAGCCCGTGACGAGGTAGCCCCGGGTCTAGGGGGACGGTTTCTACATATATCAGAATCAATACCCGCCAGTGTACCCGAATCTCCTGGGATTTGGGGGGGCTCAGTGAAACGGCAACCCGGGCCCGGTATATCGCCCACTTGTACTGAGGTACGGCCGTCTCTCACCACCCTCCCCGGATACACCCCCCAAGAGGACGGTGTTAGTCCCTTTATGAAAATAACCCCCGGAGGTTCCTGTTGATCACCCTCAGTAAACAAACCTCGGGGAACTGTGTTGCTCACCTTCGGGAAACAACCTTCGTCAACCGCCTACCCCAAGGAAGGTTCGATCCCAAAGGACCTCCCTCCTCTCCTCCCCTCGGGAGACTGTACCCAAATGGACCGCCTCGTACTCCCCCTGGCACAGACCAGAGGGCCTCCCCTACCCTAACAGACATCCCTGAGGGACAACTTCCCCTTCTACAGGAATTACCCCTACCCTTTCTCCTAACCTATATACATGGGGGTAGGACTCCTAGTTTGGGAGCCAGAGGAGGTACTAGGAGTACTAGGAGGGTGGGGGGGGACATGACGGAGGTGATACTGAAGAGAAGAGAGGAAAGTGGGGGGAAAGAAGTGAGAGAAAGGGGAAGGGAAAGTAGAAGCCGGCTGAGAGGAGTAGGAGAGAGAGGGGAGGGGATACTGGCCGAGGGGACACGTGAGGCCCGGTACTTCGGGCAGGAGGGAATGGTTACATAACACAACCTGGTTGATGTGTGTGTGTGTGTGTGTGTGTGTGTGTGTGAAGGGAAGACGTGTGGAAGAAGAGAGGGAAGAGAAGGAGAGGAGAGGAAGGGAGTGTGAGGGGAGGGAAGAGAGGATGTGAAGAGCAATGAGTAGAGGGGAGAGTGACGGCAATATTGAAAAGGGAAGGGATAATTTGAGTGAACGGGAGAGTGAGGGGAATGAAGGGGAAAGTAAGAGGAAAACAAATGGGCCGGGGAGGGAAAGGGAGAGTAAGGTGATTGTATGAGGAGAGTGAGGGGAAATTGAAGGGGGGTGAAGGGAAGGGT